GATCTCCCTCGGTCAGAATGGTTGACGAAATCAAGCAATATCTTGATTGCAGATATATCTCACCAAGTGAGGCATGTTGGGGACTTTTTTCATTTCCTATTCATGGTAGATCACCCGAAGTTGAAAGGTTGTTCTTTCATCTTGAAGGAGACAACTCTGTTTATTATACCGATTATGAATTGATAGATGAGGTGCTTGACAAACCAACTGTGAAAGAATTTATGTTTACGGCATGGATGGAAGCAAACAAAGCATACCCAGAGGCAAAGAATTTGACGTACTCACAATTTCTTTCCAAATTTGTTTATGATAAAAGATACCGTCGATGGTGACCGCGTAAAAGAGGAAATACAATTGGCAGACTTATTTGGGTCCCTCCAAGTACGGGTGAGTTATATTTCTTGAGAATGATGCTAACAGTCGTCAAAGGTCCAACTTACTATGAGGATATAAAATTTGTGGGTGGAAAAGTTCAGGATTCTTTTAGGGATGCATGCTTCGAAATGGGCTTTCTTAACGATGACAAGGAATATGTTGCAGCCATCGACGAAGCAAAGAATTGGGGTTCCGAGCATTTTTTACGAAAGTTATTTGTCACTATGTTACTATCCGGTACTGTCAATAGACCACGACATGTTTGGGAAAAAACTTGGAGGACGTTATCTGATGGTATCCTCTACCAACAAAGGCAAAAAACAAATAGAAGAGGTATGAACACTTTATTAAACTTTTTAAGTCAACAAATATTATTTTCCGAATGCAAGCTGTATCTTTTTTTATTACAAAATATAATGATATGAACTTACTTTAAAATATAATTATTCTTCATCCATATGTCCCTTATTTAATATGTTTCATAAGGTATGTCCATTTACGTAAGAAACATTTTCATATTTGTCATTTGTCATGTATGTAAGTTATTTTCTTAACTTGCAGCTGCAACAGTGTCTTTGGTTCCATTTAATTTCACGCAGCCGCAACATCAACTGTTTGATTTATGTTCAATGTATTTCAACATCACGACAGCAGTTGCATCATACATATGTAATTATATAGAAAAATAATGAAATTTTTTTAACAGAATTGCAGCTATCGGACAATGAGTTAAAGAATCTCACACTAATTGAGATTGAGAACATGATGCAATCGAATCGAAGAAGTTTGCATGAATTTAAATGTATGCCGTATCCAGATTCATACATCACAAAACATGTTGGCAATAGGCTTATTTATGACGAACTTAATTACGATGCCGATACCGAGAAACAGAAATTCCAAGAACTTTTTCATGCCCTTACAGGTGATTTATTTTCTTCATACTATGAATTACAAAAATTATTTTTATTGTCCTTGCACTTATAATTCTTGGTTTGTATTTTATAGATGAACAACGTTTGATATTTGAGAAAATCATGGATGATGTTAACAAACAGAGTGGAGGGGTATTTTTCTTGCATGGTTACGGAGGGACTGGTAAAACTTTCATGTGGAGAACACTATCAAGTGCACTTTGTTCTCAAAAAAAAATTGTTCTTACTGTTGCTTCAAGTGGGATAGCTTCGTTATTATTGTCGGGTGGAAGAACAACACACTCAAAGTTCAAAATACCTGTGCCAACGCTTGACAACTCAACTTGCAACATCGACAAAGACACCGAACATTCTCAATTATTTGAAGCAACGGATGTGATAATATGGGATGAGGAACCTATGTCTCACAATAACTGCTTCGAAGCATTGGATAAAACCCTTAAAGATGTAATGAGCAAAAAGGGTGTTGAGAATACTATTTTTGGTGGAAAAGTTGTTGTATTTGGAGGAGATTTTAGACAGATTCTTCCTGTTGTTCCAAGAGCTGGGCGTTCTGATATTGTTCATGCATCAATTAGTTCATCTTATGTATGGGATTATTGCCAGGTTTTAACACTATCAAAAAATATGAGACTTCAAGAGGGAAGAGATAACACAAGTTCTAATGAACTAGCGGAATTTTCAAAATGGATTTTAAATGTGGGTGATGGTAAGATTTGTGAACCCAATGATGGTTTGGTTGATATTGAAATTCCTCAAGAGCTATTAATATCAAATTTTGATGATCCTATAAGAGCAATTGTTGAAAACACATATCCCAATTTGTTGGAAAAATATCAAGATGTTGAATTCTTACAAGGAAAGGCTATTCTTGCTTCAACCATTGAAGTTGTGGACAAAATCAATCATTATGTATTAGACTTGATACCAGGTACATGTGTTTTATATTTACTGTATTATTACATTCATAATATATATATATATATATATATATATATATATATATATATATATATATATATATATATATATATATATATTTAAGAACATAGTTTTACTAATTTATTTATGTTTTGCTTTTAAACTTTTTTTTAGGAGAAGAGAAAGAGTATTTGAGTTTTGATTCCATTGATAGAACAAATTCAAGTTATACTGAAGCATATGAAGTTCTAACTTCTGAATTTCTCAGTAAATTAAGAACGTCAGGGCTTCCCAATCATAGGATCAAATTGAAGGTTGGTACACCTATTATGCTAATGAGAAATTTGGACCAAGCCGATGGGTTGTGCAACGGAACAAGATTAATTGTTACAAGATTTGCAAATCATGTCATTGAGGCAAAAATCATGTCTGGAAAGAACATATGTAACATTTTTTACATTCCACGAATGTCTATGTCACCTTCTGATTCACCTTGGCCATTCAAGTTGATTAGGAGACAATTTCCGATTATTGTCTCCTATGCAATGACAATTAATAAGTCACAAGGTCAATCTCTTGATAGTGTTAGATTGTATTTGCCTACTCCTGTGTTTAGTCATGGTCAATTATATGTTGCAATTTCAAGAGTTAAGAGCAAAAGTGGGCTAAAAATCCTAATTCATGACAAGGAGAATGTACCGTGTTCTACTACTACTAATGTTGTGTACAAGGAAGTCTTTCAAGCACTTTGATAGTTGGTAAACTTTATATCTTATACTTTACGATTCAAATTAAAAATCTATTTTGAATTAAAATATATAGTATGTACATTTTCCATGTATTTCAAGAAGTATATAATTTTTCTTATTTGTTCATGCAGACGTGATTTGTTGATAGGACCGACGCTTGCTACAAATATGGAGTTAAATGCCAACATGGTTTACATGAGACATATACTCAACTGAAAACATGGTAACATACTTAATAATTTAATAATCTATAAATGTAATGTGAATCCAGACGAGACCCGTGCGATAGCACGGATTTGTTACTAGTTTACTTTAAAATCGCATAGCAAACACGCTTAACCACAAAATCAAATCACAAAAACACGAGAAAGTGGCTCCAAAAGACCAGAGCACAAACCACCAAGTTGCGAGAAAGTATTTCCAAAATACCACAACACAAATCACAAGAACTATCATTATGGTCTAATAAGACATATCTCTTAAAAAGAAAATGATATTTTAACACTTAAATTTGGGTGTCAAAAAAGAATTAAGCGTAAGTGTTAAGTGTAATGATGTACTATTAAAAAAAAAATATAAATCGTAAGGACTTACATGTGACTTAATACAAAACTATAATTTTTTAATTAATAAATTGCTTAAAATTTAACTCTAAAAATAACAAATGAAATATCACGCATTCAAAAAGTATGTGCAATAAAATGTTTGAGTTCAAAGATAGTATGGTATAAAACAATTTTATAAATATAATCGATCAGAAATTTTAAATTTATCATGTCATTTTAATATTTTAAAAATAAAAATATATTTTATTGTGATTTTATAAATATAATCAATTAAATTTTTTATATTTATCATATTATTTTAGTGAAATACATAAATTATTTTTTTTTACTTATATAACTCTATTCAATTTATTAATAAACTATATGATAATTAAAAATTGATATAGATTTACAAGTTACTAGTACAAACATTTTTGTCCTTTTTGGGCAAGTTTTTAAACCTTAAACCCCACCCTCACTTCAATTGATCAACACAACATAATACACACCAACAACTCCACATATATATATATATATATTTCTTTTCTATTGACTCCCATTTAGCCTCCAACTCAGACCCTTTCCACTTTTTTGTTCATTTCAAAACATTTTCTCACAACACAAAATCAACAAAAACATTCATTCATCAACCTAGTCGTTGTTGCTTATTCAGTTTCTGCGTACCCTAAAAAGACAACCCAGAAGGTTAAATACCCAAAAAACTGTCAAATTCTGAATCAGGATTTGTAAAAATATGATTTTTACTTCATCGGTTTGTTCTTTTGCTGATTCGGTATGTGGGTTTTTTCTTATTGGTTTTCATTTGTATAGCTTTTTGGATTTGGCTTTGTGGGTTGTTTAGTTTTGTTGATTGTTGATCATGGGTTTTGTTTTGTTGAAATTCTGCTGCTCAATTGTTTGTTCTTTTGCTTCTGTGGGTTTTTTTCAAGTGTTTTGAAATGTTCATCCTTTTGATATGTTACTTAATTAATTACTAGTTAAATAATACTAACTTTGATGAATAATATGTTATTTTTGATGGATTTGGCTTGTTGGGTTGTTGAGTTTTGAAGATTATGGGGTTTGGTTTTGAGTAGAGTCTTGTTGCTGAATTGTGCGTGGGCTTGTTTCTCAATTTCAATGTAAAAATTATGATTAAATTCGAAAGCTACAAATTCTAGCTTCTATTAGGATCACTCAGGCAGAATCAATTCTACTTTAGAAGAATCAAACGCCTCAAAATCATTTCAAAATCAATTAAACTGTGCAATTTGTTCGAAAATTTGATATATTTTCAAGGGAATTTGATATATTAACACTCAGTGTCTTAAGTTTCGATTTTATGTCATGTATATCTTGATGAAGTTTGGCGTTGACATTAAATTGTGCTGACTTTGTGACAGTGTGTCTCTTTTCTGTAGTATTAGTCCTCTGCAAGATGATTTCATTGTTTGATTATCAAGAGAAATTGAAGAATGGTTCGTCAATCTAATTTGGTTATCATTGGTGTCTCTGTTGGTTTGGCCCTTGGAATTCTGATTTCTTGCCTCATATTTTTCGGCATAAGGTGGTGCAAGAAGCGTTCTCATATTACACGATCTGCGAACGAGCCTAGTTTGACAACTCTCCCCATACGAACAAATGGAGTTGAAGCAAGTACTGACTTTAGTGCATCAATCACTAGTTCCGTAACCACGTCAAGGTCAGAAAATCTACAAAGAAATTCCAATTTCTCTTGGTGGAATCATCAAAACAAAGACCGGTTTGCTTCAGCATCAGGCATTCTAAAGTATTCGTACAAGTATGTACATTTTGCTCTTGACCATGGTGTTAAATCTTTCTTATTTTCAAATTGTTCTGGTAATGACAAGCTTTCAATTTCAACTATCGATATCGATATCAAGATATCTTGATTATTTTTATCTGTGAAATTGGAAGTTCTTTTGTAAAGAAGAAACATATTGACTTAGACATTCACATTAACGTTAGTAATGGTCTACCTGACACTTTACATAACAGAGAACTTCAAAAAGCCACACAAAATTTCACAACTACCTTGGGAGAAGGATCATTTGGCACAGTTTATAAAGCGACAATGCCTACAGGAGAGGTGATAGCTGTGAAGGTGCTAGCACACAATTCCAAACAAGGGGAGAGAGAATTCCAAACAGAGGTATTAGCAAATAGCTATTATAGTACTTGGTTAGTCGGACATAGTATTTTTCTTTGATTTTGTAATCTTTAGATATATTTATATATTACTGTAAGATGATTCTTTACTTTATTTTGATTGAGAGACTCGCACTGATTAAGTTTTTGAGGACAAGAAATCCAACAGCGGCAATCATATTAGTATTGTCAAATAGTAGTTATAACATAGTAGAATTTGAACAAATCACTATTGTTTTGCGATATGCTATTCAGTGCAAAGTGTTGTCAAATAGTATATATCGCGACACTATAGCATAGAAGAATTTCAACAAACTGCTCCATTCGCAGTTGACAACACTAATTCCTAATTAGTGACATTAGTTATAATTTGTGAAACTCAAAGAACGGGCACTCCATAAAGGACAGTGCATTTTCTGAACTTATGATTTCTAACGAAACATTGTTCCAGGTGTCTCTGCTAGGAAGACTACATCACCGGAATCTTGTGAATCTGCTTGGATATTGTGTAGATAAAGGACAGCGCATACTGGTTTATCAGTTCATGAGCAATGGAAGTTTAGCAAGTATTTTATATGGTAAGAGGAAGATCATTCCTTCCCATTCTAGTTGGTGTTTCTTCCAATGTTTTAAAAACCAAACTGAAAATCATACCTACAATACCTTTGGATCATGGTTTAATTCAACTGCTTTTAATCACTCGAACCAGGGCAAAACTGCAGTAGAATTGCTCAAATGATCGGACTGTAGACAATGTTGGTACATGGTTCAACCAGTTGAATCGTCTGGTTCGGTTTTTAAAAAATTGGTTTCCCCTCCCCTCCTTCTAGTATGACATTTGTTTTGTGAGAGATGCATGATCATGTCATAAAATAGACCGACGCGTGTTACTTCTTTACTTGTTTTTAGTAGTTACATAATCATTAAACGTTTTCTTTCTGATTTTTCGTTTTTAATCTTACAAAGAAATGATATCAAACTGAAAATAATCCGTGAATATTTCTAGGTGAAGAAAAGAAGTTAAGTTGGGATGAAAGGCTGCAAGTTGCTATTGATATTTCACATGGAATAGAGTATCTTCATGAAGGAGTATGTATGTTCCTTGATACATTTTCCGTTGTGCTATTTGAAAACGTGTTCTGATTAAACATGAATTTGCATGGAACAGGCAGTCCCACCGGTTATACATCGTGATTTGAAGTCTCCCAACATATTGCTAGATGACACAATGAGAGCAAAGGTAATATTGCTTGTACAAGCTCTTTATGATAATAACATTGCCAAATATTTTTCCTAAGTTTGTTGAAAAATGATGAGTTATTGACTTTAATGGCATTAATTATCTTTTTCTCTATTCATATATCAATTAACTTCAAAATTACCTAAGTAGGTTGCTGATTTTGGCCTCTCAAAGGAAGAGATCTTCGATGGCCGAAATTCTGGTCTTAAAGGTACATATGGTTACATGGACCCGGCATACATTTCCACAAATAAGTTAACAACCAAGAGTGACATATACAGTTTTGGTATCATACTTTTTGAGCTCATCACAGCCATCCATCCTCATCAAAATTTGTTGGAATATGTTAACCTTGTAAGTCACTATTTTCTCTTGCAAAGAGCTCCTTCATCTTGAATTCGAGAAATATTTTTTCGACAACCAAATTTAGACAACTTTCACGCGCGACAACTTGTCAAGTAGTTAATGCAGTTTAAATAGGAGGTTAATTACGTTTAGTAGATGGTTAATAGAATCAGATATAAATAAATCTCATTAACCAGCAATGTACCTTAATTAACCACAAATTTGGACGTGGCTGTGTTCAACTACCTGTAGATTTGAACTCCTGAAAGTTGTGGTTAATCTTGTTCAAATTTGTGATTAATGAGCTACATTAATGATTAATGCGTTTTGACATCTGATGTGTCCATTAACCATCTACTGAACGTAATTAACCATACTTTTTAATTGCGTTAACCACTTAAAAAATTATTGTGAAAATTGATTTACATTTCTTCTTGGTATGAATCTTATAGGCTTGAAGATTTCTTTCTGATTTTGCTTATTTGTCTTTTACTTCAAGGCTGCAATGGAACATGATGGTATAGATGAGATACTTGACAAGCAACTTGTTGGAAAATGCAATGTTTTAGAAGTGAGGCAACTTGCTAAAATTGCACACAAATGCTTACACAAATCACCTAAGAAAAGACCCTCTATAAGTGAAGTTTCTCAAAGCATATCAAGAATAAAGCAAAGAAGATTGCGTCATGTTATGGAAGATAACTTGTCATTTGCAAATAGTAATAACTTCTCAAGAACTTCGAGTCGATTAGATGATCGACAAGTTGAATTAAGTAGGATAGTTACCATGACCATCAAAGAAACTGTATGAACTAAATTACTCCAATATGAGGTGAAGTTGATAATCAAATCTTTGTAGTCCACAAGGGACCATGAAAGTTTAATCTAATCTAATGAAACTACTACTGCAAAACTGAAAATTGATGTCTCAACTTAATGTCACACTATACTCACCTTAAATATCATAAATATCAACAGAGGAATGCATTTGATTTATATTCTTCTTTTTCATGGATAATAGATTATTAGATTGATATGGTCTCGTGATTTCAAGAATCAAATTAGGTGATTAATTACTCAAATAATTACTTATTTCAGCATATTTTAAAAGGGTCTATGTTAAAGAATCTATAAATAGTAAATTATGTTTTAAAAATAAAATGCAACTATTTATTAAATGTGTAATTTTTAACTATATATTTTAAAAATTCTCCTATAACTTGTGTATTAACAAATCATAGTAAAGTGAATAAAATCTAAGATTCTTCGACATTTCTTAAATGGCGATTATGTCAACCCCTACATTGGAGATGTCACCTTATTTATAGCACAACAAGCTAATAAAACAATAACATAAAATCAAAATAAGAGTTGGTTGTTGGAGACGGCTTAACGAAGCACTTCTTGTCATTAGCATCAACAAAATAGTTTTTTTTTAATAAAAAAATACATTAAGATGTTTATTCACACTTGAACTAATAAATGTTAAATATGCATCATAAGAAAAACTAATACATACATGTGATAAGTCAACCTATTACAATAAAACCAAAACAAAAACCTCTCTTAATCAACTACACGTCAATGAATATTGTCAAAAGAAAAGTACACTTCAATGAAATTTTATATACTGTTTGACTTATAAGTTACCAATGAAAGGGAAAGGGAAGATGAAGTCTAAAATGAAATATCTGGTTGGCATTGCTTTCCCTTTCTTCACACACTTCTGTTTGCCACAAATGTAGTGATAATAAAGCACAGACTGAACAAAAATATCAGCTTTTGGACTTGTTTGTAGACATTCTTTAACTACAAATTAACTTGCTCCATTATTCTGTTTCTTCAAGCTCAGATTTTTCTTTGTACTGCTTTGGCAGACCTCATGTCCTAGGAGTCTTCGTTGAGCAGGAAAAATGACAAAGATGTTCCATTCAGTGAAACAAAATGTTCAGAAGTTTGTCAGATTCCATGTTTGTTTTTCCCTTGGTCTGGATCTGTATGTTGCAACATGCAGCTCTTCATTGAATATGCATTACAATGAGCTCTAACCTCTAAGCATTTAGAGCAATAAGCTATGCACGTCTAAAGCTGCTATCTGCAGCTTCTGCTTGAACCCACGGTTGTGTCACCATGAAAACAAACACATTACAACACTTCTAAGCTTCTCGAAGAGCACCAGCAGATGCTCCATTTCTCTATCAACAAATAAGCAAGAGTTATATTAGATTGATGCTCATCACTAGGTGAACAAACACTAACATGAGATTGAAGCGATAAATTTATAGCAACCTTCAATGTATAGATAATGCACTGATATTTGCATCTCAATAAAACAAATTGATAAGAACACTTTTAGGTGTAAAACTTATAGCAAATAAGAACCAAGAAAATTGTGCACCAATGATAACACATTTGACATGTGACTGTTTGTCCTCATAATAATTCATAATCATACCAAAGACTGTTGATGTCTAATTATGAGATCATGAAAGTGCAAACATAAAACAGAACTATTCCTTTCCGAACATTTGAGAATGACAGTTGTTGAACATACTTACAGTGGGGGCAGTGCAAACATCAATTATTGAGCAACAGACAACTTCAAAAGTAGTATTCTGATTAACGGCTACTCGCAAACTAAACAGGTCGCAGATCATACGATTCTAAGATTAACCATTACGATTTCATCTGACTTCACCATAATCCAAATCTGCGTGGACTCTTAATAGCTGAGGGAAAGCAAAATAACAAAATCATGTGTTGTAGGAATGAAAACACGATTCTGATTACCATGATGTTGATAAATTTTCAAGATTGTGTTTAACATATGAGTGCTTTGACTTCACCAAATTTCCTAACCTTGCTGGTTCATGTAATATTTCCAAAAGATTAATAAGCTTTGCTGTACAACTCAAACTGCAATTTCCTGCCCTCTTGTAGCCTTCAAGAAGCTGCGCCATATATTGGCATTTGGTGGAAAAGGCATGCTTGCCATGACTTCTTCAGCTTCCTTTATTTGTCCATTTTTAGCAAGGAGATCTACTATGCAATGGTAATGATCGTGTTCTAGTTGAATCCCATAAATGGTTCCCATCTGCTTAAAAAAATTCATCCCTTCACTCACTAATCCACCGTATCTGCAAGAAGAAAGCACTGCTCTGAGCGCTAATGTGTCAGGCGTAAACCCCATCAATACCATCTTGTGGAATATCTTTACTGCCCCGCGAGCATAACCGTTTAATCCAAGGGCCGAAATTAAAGCTGTCCATGTAATAACATTTCTGTCGGTAACTTCGTCAAAAACTTTCACTGAATTTTCAATGTTTCCACACTTTCCATACATATCAATTAGTACATTGCCCAAAAAAGTGTCATAACTATTGGTCTTTACAATAAGACCATGAAGAGAACATCCCAAATCAAAACTGCAAAGTTTGGCGCACACGCATAATACAGTCATAAATGTGTATTTGTCAGGACGGATGTGTGTGGAAATCATACGCTTGAAAAGTTCAAAAACCTCACTATAACTATTGCTCCGAGCACAGGCTGAAATGACAATGTTCCAAGATACAATATCAGGCCTTTCTAATAAAGAAAGCAACTTCATTGATTCATTGTAATGACCGGTTCGGTTATAGATTCCAGCAATGATGTTAGATGGAACTACAGAAAGTGGACTATTATACTCTTGGATAAACGAAAGCGCTTCATTTATAAAACCATTTTTACTATAAGCCATAACAAGAGAGCTTAAAACATATTCATGATTCTCATACCCCATTCTTATAACCAAACCGTGGAGCTGGTGTATGTCTAATACAGATGACGACTTAAGAGCAGCAGAAAAGGAAAACTCGTTAGGGACACAACCCAATCTAAACATTTCTCGTAATAACAATGTTGATGTGGAAGAGTAAACATATGAGTAACCCAATATCAAAGAATTCCAAGAAACCACATTCTTCTCTTCTATCTGATCAAAACAGTAATGCGCAGAGACCAATTTCTCAAATTTGGCATAGAAGTCTACCAATACAGTACCGACAACAACATCAGAGTCAAAACCACTCCTGATAACTTTAGCATGAACACATTCTCCACACACCAAGTTTCTCAAACCACTACACGACTCAATAACAGCTACAAATGTGGCCTGACTCGGTACCAATCCCCTCCTCAACATATTCAAAAACATCTCCAACGCCATTAGAGGCTTCCCACTTTTCACCATTGAATCAATGATCATATTCCAAGATACAACATTCTGAACAGGAACCTGCTCAAACAATCTCTCTGCCAAACACAAAGCTCTACACCTAACATAAACACCAATAAGCGAATTAACTGCAGAAACATAACCGTGAAACCCACATTTAGTCATCAAACCATGAACCTGTTCACCATAACTCAAATCCTTTTCAGAATCAACAAGTCCAGACAAAAGTGCCACAAAGGAACCTTCCGACAACAACACCCCCAACCCCAATAATTCACTAAACAGAACCTTCGCATCCTCAACAAAACCATTACAAGCCAACAAAGACAACATAGTATTCCAAGTGACTATACTCTTATAAGTCATATCATCAAACACCGAAAAAGCTTCATTCAAACATCCATGTCTAGCAAAAAATTTCAACAAAGTACTACCCACAAAAGCATCAGCATCAAAGACTCCATTTTTAATACTCAAACCAAACAACTGAACACCTTGAACCAGTTCCAACGTTTCACAACAAAGCAACCCCGTTATCGTATACTGATTAGGAGCAAATCCACACACCCTCAAGTGGTTCAACAAGCTCCAAGCTTCAACTACATTTCCACGTCGAGTATAAGAAGTGATAAGCGCGTTGTAAGATACTAGTGTTCTTTGAGGCATTTCATCGAACACCTTGCGTGCTTGAATGAAGTTGCTGTGGGAAATGTAGGAGGAAATGATGTTGTTGTTGATGAAGATGGATTGGTTTGGAATGGGAGGTGTTGTGATGGAGAGTGCGTGGAGACGTTTCGTTGCGTCGAGGGATCGGAATGTGGAGGTTGATTCGAGGAAATGGAGGATGCGGGAAACACTGCCATTGTAACTCATGTAGACTGTAGTTTGAACTTCATTATCTGAATATACATACCTCTTTAAAATTTGGAATTTTAAAATTTAAATATTTAGCTGAAGTTTTTAATTTTATAATAAACTGTAACTTTTTAATTTTTGAAAACATAAATTATATATTTATTAATAATTTATTTTAAAATAATATTTATTTTTATATTAAAGTAATTTAACATAGTTATGTAATATATACATTAAATTAAAAGACATAAACAAAATAGTAAGCTTGTTTATGTGGTAAAATGTATGAACTTTGAAGGAGGTGCTGAGTGGGTTCTCAATTTTTTATAGTTTTATAAAAGTTTATAAAAAGTAAAAAAAGAAAATGTAACAGAGAATTAAAAATAAATGAAAAGTAATTATATTAAGTCCACTTCAACATATCAATATTAATAAAATAATAATATTGAATTAGCGCGCTACATATATATTTTTGCTATTATGATAAAGAGGTAAAAATACTATTAACCATTAAAAATATTTTTGAAATTTTGTCGAGATGTGTGAGTGAGTTATGAGGTATATTGATCAACTCTCTATAAGCATGTACAAATGCATTTTGGGCCTATATAAGGCTAGTCACTTGTTGAGAATTGAATTTGATCTCTTTAGAAAATCATTTTCCCGCCTTTATACCTTCTCGCAAATTTTTAGTGAAAATACAAAAATATTAGTAGAATATAGAGATGTATATTCGA